TAACTGGAAAGAGGCAAGGATTCATTCCTCCAGCAGTTATTTATGGGGTATTCTTTGCCCACAGGCGCTGCCACTAAGCTAAGGAGCAGAAGCTGTCTCCTGGGGGAGACAGGGTCACAGAATCTGACTGCATTGGTCTGTAAATGACAATCTGATGGTGGCCTCCAGGAAGGGCGGTGCAGGTGCCTACGAGAGGGCGAGGGCGTATGCAGGAGGGTTCGCAGGTAGGACAGGCGTCAGAAGGGGCCCAGGGCACTGAGGACCAGAGGCAGTGCTAACTGGTGGATGAGAAGGGGGAGGGCTAGGGGGACTCTTCTAGGCAAAAGGAGCTGCAGGACAAAGGCCCAGGACGGGCAGAGCTGTAGGGGGAGAAAAATAAAAAGAGGCTGGCGTGGCTGGGGCAGCTCCTGGGGAGGTCGGGGCTGGAATGATGGGAACAGGCTGGCAGACCTGAAACCAATGGGAGCCCCAGAAGGTTCTGAGGAGGGAAGAGAAATCGTGCAGATGGCATTTTACACAGATTGCTCTGGCTGCAGTGAGAATATTGGGTTACTTGGGCTGCTTTGCAGAGCTGCATCCGAGTGACTTCCCCTTTCTCACCCTCCTTTCCGGTAGCCACGGAGATCTGAGTAAATGCGCGCCCGATAGGCAGTTAAAAGCGCTCCAACAATGGAGGGCTGTGTGCTTGGAGGAGAGCACACTGTGCCCCAGTCAGGCGAGGCAGATCACATCTCCCTCCACCTCCTGTCGGCCGGGCGCACCCGGGGGCCACTCACCCTCTCTAGCACCCACTTCCATCCAGCCTATGAAATGGGGAGAGTGATGCTCCACTGCGTTGAAGGAGCAAAAGAAAGAGTGTGTGCAAATTACCTGGCAGAACACAGGACACACCGGCTGTTATTGGAAGTAACTGCAATGTAGTCGAGCCAGTCAGAGGAAGATTTCTAACCAAAAGTCACACCAGCGAAAACACTGGGCATAGAGCACAAGCTTGCCTTTGAAAAATATATAAGTATGCGCATTATTATATATGCGGACACATTTTTTATAGACAGCTGTCTAATGAAATCATGCTAACACTGGTGTTGGAAAACAAGCCTATATAACGTATGCAATTAAGATATATACAATACAGGTTAAAATTTGTCTCAATAAGCTATATCGCACATGAACTGCCTCGTCTGTCTTTTCCTGTAGGAGTTGCTCTCTGGAGAAACTGAACGCATTTGTTAGCCTGTCCATCCTCCAGACTGCACAGCACTAGCTTCTCAAGCATGATTTTACTGATCTGTTTCTCCAGAGCCTACCTGAAAGCCTGGCACTCAGCAGCAGGTGCTCATTAAATACTTACAGAAAGGAAAAGTAAAGAATGAATGAATTGGCTATAATCTAACACCCCAAGTTAGATTATAACTTCTGAGTCTGACAACTGTATTTTATGAGCCAAAATCAAGACACAATGTCTGTTCTACAGAATATGAGTGTCCTAGAGAGACTCGGCATGAACTGCTTGAAATTCAGACCGACCTGGAAAGTTCAGGATAGATAATCTGCATATACCTCAAAATAACTGTGTCTTGTTTTAAAGGAGCAACGACAAGTAGCTACAACGAGTTCCACTGTGACCTTGGGTTATGCTGGTTTTTCAGCATAAACACTGTCCCAAGTCCTTTGCTCATAGTAGAAAGAACAATCTAGAGGATTTTAAAGGATTTCTGTTCAACCACGGCCACAAGGACCCTGGATCAGCTTTTCTCTTATCTCACTCAGTATAATTAATGCGTTGCCCTGATCAGACATCTACTGGCACAAAAAGAGCAAGTGAAACAGCCATACATTTTGTTTGTTAAGCGCAGCTGAGCCCAGCTCAACAGAGTGTCAATTCAAAAGAGGGAAATTAAATATGCAGCCGAGTTGGGAGACGAGGAACAAAGAATCCAGTATGACAATTAACAGGGGAGCTGAACACACTTTCAGCCCACCGTCAGGAAGAGGCTAGAGAGAAGAGGTGAACTGGAGAAGGAAGCCTGAAAGGAGAGAAGAGACCAATCTTAATTAAGACTTTATTTTAGATCTGGAGAGACCAAGATGGCGGCATAGGTAAACACCGCAGACTGCTGCCGCAAACAACCACTTCAAAAATACAACTAAAAGACGGAACGGACATCACCCAGAACCACAGGAAGGCTGGCTGAGGAGAGACTCTTCAACTAGAAGGAAAAATAACAGCACACCGAGGCTCAGAGGAGGCGCAGTGTGGAAAATACTCAGGTGCGGAGGTGCGCGCGCAAAGCGGGCTGGTGGCTGAGAGCGCGGTTGTCGTTTTCGGTCAGGGGGGAGTCTCAGACTCTGAGCTCCAGATACGGGCGAATCGCTGGGGACTCGGACTCAAACGGGAGAAGCGGGAGTGTCTGGCATCAGTTGGAAGGCAGCTTTCTCTCCGAGGTTTGCAGCGGTTCCTGGGGTTCTGAGAAGCAGAACCTCTGGGAACGGGACTGAGGGCACCATAACCACTCCCTCCGCCCGCCCTGTTGAGCCCGCCCCGCCCAAGCCCTGCGCAGAGCCATTTGCCGGATCGCCTCAGGCAAAGGCTAGATTAGCACCTCCCCAGAGGACAGAAGTTTTCCTCGGCAGACACAGCTAATTCACACAGCCAGTCGGCCTGGTGGTCAAATCCCTCTAGTATTAACTACAACAATCAAGGCTCAACTAGAACAAGACTGCGCACAAAGACCACTAGGGGGTGCACCAAGAAAGCATAAAAAATGCGGAGACAAAAAAACATGACAGAAATGGAGGATATAGAGCTAAAAATCGCAATTTTGAGGGCTTGCAAAAATGTGCTAGAAGCTGTCAATAAACTTGAGGAGAGAGTCACGAAAACTAATGAGACCCTCGATGCTATGATAAAGAACCAACTAGAAATTAAGCATACACGGACTGAAATAAAGAATATTATACAGACACCCAATAGCAGACCAGAGGAGCGCAAGAATCAAGTCAAAGATTTGAAATGCGAAGAAGCAAAAAACACCCAACCGGAAAAGCAAAATGAAAAAAGAATCCGAAAATATGAAGATAGTGTAAGGAGCCTCTGGGACAGCTTCAAACGTACCAACATCAGAATAATAGGGGGGCCAGAAGATGAGAGACAGCAAGATATTGAAAACCTATATGAAGAAATAATGGCAGAAAACTTCCCCCACCTGGTGAAAGAAATGGACTTATAGGTCCAAGAAGCGCAGAGAACCCCAAACAAAAGGAATCCAAAGAGGACCACACCAAGACACATCATAATTAAAATGCCAAGAGCAAAAGACAAAGAGAGAATCCTAAAAGCAGCAAGAGAAAGAGACTCAATTACCTACAAGGGAATACCCATACGACTGTCAGCTGATTTCTCAACAGAAACTTTGCAGGCCAGAAGGGAATGGCAAGAAATATTCAAAGTGCTGAATACCAAGATCCTACAACCAAGAATACTTTATCCAGCAAAGCTATCATTCAGAATTGAAGGTCAGATAAAGAGCTTCACAGATAAGGAAAAGCTAAAGGAGTTCATCACCACTAAACCAGTATTATACGAAATGCTGAAAGGTATCCTTTAAGAGGAGGAAGAAGAAAAAGGTAAAGATACAAATTGTGAACAACAAACATGCATCTATCAACGAGTGAATCTAAGAATCAAGTGAATAAATAATCTGATGTACAGAATGAACTGGTGATTATAATGAATCAGGGACATAGAAAGGGAATGGACTGCCTATTCTTGGCGGGGAAAGGGGAATGGGAGATGCGGGAAGAGACTGGACAAAAATCGTGCACCTATGGATGAGGACAGTGGGTGGGGAGTGAGGGCGGAGGGTGGGGTGGGAACTGGGAGGAGGGGAGTTATGGGGGGGAAAAAAAGAGGAACAAATGTAACCTGAACAATAAAGATTTAATTAAAAAAAAAAAAAAAAAAAAGACTTTATTTTAAAGAGTATTTTTTAAAGTCGGGTTTATAGGAGTATAACTTCCACAATAAAACATACCCTCTTAGGGGAGAGCTCTACGCAATTTAAACATCACATCCAGTTGTGTAGCTACCATAACAAAGATATACAACAGTGTCATCATCCCCCAAGTGCCCTCCGGCCCCTTGGGAATCAACTTCTCCCTCACCCTGAGCTCCTGGCAACCACTATTCTGTTTCCTGTTCCTCTAGTTTTCCCTGCCTTAAAGATATTTAATAACAAAACTTAAAATGGGGAGAAGGGAGGAACTGAGATTTTTTTCCTACCTCCCACTCACTTCCTACACCCTGGAATAGCATCACTTAGTGAACTTATATATATTAAGGATCTATTATTTGCCAAATCTTTTACGTATATCCTCTCTGATTTTTTTCAGCTTATCCACGAAGGAGGCTTCCCAATTTCCCAGGTGGGGAAGACACTCAAACAGGTATCAGGCTGGTAAGAGGCAGAGCGCAGATTCAAGATCCAAGTTGACAAAAAATATTACCATGGTTTACCTTGGGGTGTCAGATTATAGCCAATTTGCGCTTTCTTCTTTATACATTATTTGTACTAGCAAGGTTTTCAACAATGAATTTATACTACTATTATGAGAATATATAAGTAAGTATATAAACACATACTACATACATACATACATACATACATACATACATACAACATCTGTTTCCAAAGCTCTTTGCTGAGCAAGGAGAGAAAAATAGAAAAAAGTTTAGAAGGGGATAAAGGAAAGGCTCCTCTTAGCCACTGGTACCCATTCAGAAATGAGAAACCAAATTTACCAAAAGAGCCGAGCACAGCTTTGTTCTGTCTCCAGAGCTCATCACAGTCTAACAGTGGTTCTCAACCTTCCTGTAGTTCTCAACCTTCCTAATGCCGCAACCCTTTAATACAGTTCCTCATGTTGTGGTGACCCCCAACCATAAAATTATTTTTGTTGCTACTTCATAACTGTAATTCTGCTACTGTTATGAATCGTAATGTGAGTATCTGATATGCAGGATGTATTTTCATTGTTTGCGACCCAGAGGTTGAGAACCGCTGGATCTCTACCTTCAAAAAGATGAGCCCTGTTGGCCTATAGACACCCACTGAGATTGCTCCAGACCCCACAGGCAATCCTACGCTTCTTCCTGCCTCATCTCCATCCCCAAACACCAGGTAGGAACAAGCTAACCATCATGGGCAAGTGAGTACACAGCAGCCTCTCCCCACTTCTGAGAGGCAGCGATGTGACTAACAAGGCCCCAAGGCGAAAGGGAACACAGAGCACTTTTTACTGGGAGGGAGGGGGTCACATTTGGACATGGCTATGCTGAGGGAATATTACTCATCACCGCGCTCAAGGGGACTCATGAGGCCATCCGCTGGCCGTTGGGCAGAATCCATTTATTGCTTGTTCCAAAAAACATTTGAGGGATCTTACAAAAATGTATATAATACATTTATAATAGATTAGGTACTAGAACTGGGTACCCAAATGGAAAAACTATGAACCATGACCCCCTACTTTCCATGATGATTTAAGAGGGATCACAGGCCTAAATGTAAAAATGAAAACATAAATTTTCTGGAAGAAAAAGGGAAGGAATCTTCACAACTTAGGGTAAGCAACAGCTTCTTAGGATAAAAGGAGCAATTACCATTTCAAAAGTGAATAACTAGATTATACCAAAATGTAAATCTCTTGCTTATAAAAAGACAATGTTCATGAAATACAGAAGAAATCCACAAACTGATATACAATATTTCACAAAGATATATCTGACAAGAAATTAGTATCAAGAATATGTAAAGCACTCCCATACCTCAAGAATTAAAAAAACACCTCAATGTGGATTTACTTGAACAGACATTTCACAAAGGAAGAGTTGTTTAAAGCTGCTCAATATCATTATTCATCAGAGAGTTACAAATTAACGCAGCAATGAGATACTGCTACCCACATGAGTGGCTAAAATTTAAAACAGACTGACGACATAAAATGTTTGGAGGACACAAAATAACCTAAACTCTCATACACAGTGGTTGATGATACGATCACTTTGGGAAAAGGTCTGACAGTTTCTAGTAAAACTAAACATGCACGTACCCTCTGGCCTAGAAATTCCACTCCTAGGTATGTAGCCAAGAGCTATGAGAGCATTACCACAAAGAGACTTATACAAAACATCCATGGCAGCTCTGATTGCTCAACAAACTGAGGTATATTCATACAATAGAATACTCACCGACACAATAAAGAACTAATTCTGAAACACCTAAGAGTGTGGGTGAATCTTTAAAACATTGTGCTGAGTAAAAGATTATATAAGAGTACATGTGCAATTCCATTTATATGAAGTGCTAAAACAGGCAAAACTAATTATGGTGCGAAAAAGAATCAGAACAGTAGTTGCCTCTGAAGTTGTGGGGAAGGAATAAGAATCATAAAGGAACTTGCTGGGTTGATGGGAATATTCTGTATTTTGATAAGGATTTGTGTTACACAAGTGTATCTATTTGTCAATTGAATGGTACATGTAAGGTGTATGCACTTTGTTGAATGTAAAATTTACCTCAAAAAAACAAATGAAAATATAACCAAATATTGAACTTTAATGATGTACATACTAAAATGTATAGGGGTAAAGTGTATAGATATTTGCAATTTACTTTGAAATATATAAAAAAATAATTGGTATAACTGTCTAATAATGAAAGTACAGGAAAAGGTTAACTATGGAATCCAGATGGTGGGTATATGGGTGTTAACTATAAAATTATTTCATCTTTTCTAGATATTTAAAAATTCTCATAGTGAAACACTGGAAAAAATAATTGTATCCAAAGATAGATAAACCCTTGAATATCTATAAGAAATATTATATCACTTATCTTATTGATCTATTTTAATGTATCTTGCTAAATCCATTCCTCTCTGAACATGTACCATATGCCATGCACCATACAGAATGATAATAATAGCTCTCTTATACCATATTTTAACTATTCTAAGATGCATAATTTCTTTCCACATTTTGGCATTCTGAATTCGGAATGGGCTTTATAATCAATGGCATATCATAATTGGTGGAATTTTTTTCTCAATGGAACATAAAATAATAGTGTTTCTTAAAATCAATGGCATGTTAGATTTAATAAAACACAATATCTAGTGCTTCATGGTTCAAACTATTTTCATCTTATTTGGGCCTCACAATATCATATTTTGTGAGATGGGTAGTTATTCCTATTCCAAATATAGAAATTGAGGTTCAGAAAGTTTAAATGTGCTCCTTCTCCAAAGTTCTCAGCTAGACTATGATGAAGCCATAACTTTAATCTGAGCTCTCTAAATTTGAAATATTCTGTTTTCTCCCAATGTCACATAAAATATTTAGAGAATGAAATCTCCTTGGAGATAGGGACTTTGTTTTATTCACTACTATAGTACCAGGGTATAGACCATTGCTTGGCACATAGCAAGTATTTAATAAATATTTACTGAATGAATGAATATTACAGAAGACAATAAAAGGTCAGAGGGGAAGGCCCATGGGATGTAGTGAGGTGGAAAGTTTATGACTATCTTGCCATCACTTATCTGCTTTGATGCACTTCTCATTAATCACTCAAATAGCACATACTCCAGATGCCATCTGAGGTTAAACTTAATATATCTGCTCCCTAATGACTTGAGAGGCAATCTAGTATAATGCAAAGTGTACTCATATTTGCATGAGAAGACCTGGGTGTAAATCCCTTCTTATTATATTTTAACCACCTATTAGCATAAAACTTTGGGAAAAATTACTTAACTCTCCTGAGTTTCAGTATTCTTATCTTCAAAATTGAAAATAATAAAACCTACCAGATTGCATCACTGTGAGGCTTAAATGAGACCAGATACATACGTGCACCTTACACATAGGAGTTCTATAATGTTAATTCCTTTCTCTTTCCTACACCATGCTCCACTTCAACTTTGTCTTGTTACTGGTGATTTCGGCTTTCGGTTCTTGAGTTTGGCAAAGAAAGAATTCAGAGCCAAGAACTCTAGCACAAAGAAACTTCATTTAACTTGCAAAGCAAAAGTTCACCCAAAGAGAAGACTCGAGAGAGCTGTTCAGAGAACTGCCTTGGCCTTTTAGAAAGAAAGTCAGAGGCAGAAATGAGCCAGCTGGGTTGTGTGGACTCAGGAAACAAGTTACAGAGGCAAAAGAAGGCCCCTTGGAGACAGGTTTAGGGGGTTAGACCAGGATGAGCTGCCACTGCCCACTGCTCCCCTGGTTGCAAACCTCGTGGGAACCTTTTGAGCTTAGGAGAAAGAAAGCAAAGGTGATGTGGGTGTGCTCTAGAGACCGAGCATGCACTGGGTCCTTTGTCTTAAAAGTTTTTATCCATTTTCTAAAGACAGGGATTTTAGGGGAGGCCTCAAGGGAGGATCTCAATAGAATATTAATCAGCTTTCTAGGTGTGTTCTTTAATATGCTGATTCATAAAAATAAGGGGACAGAATCAGGGTCATGGTCTCTATTAATTGGTCAGCACTAGGCTACCAGGTAGCTGATCAGTGCATCTGGTCCTCATGTCAGCGATGGTGTGGCTTCATCTGGTTTTTCTGCTTTTCTGAGCCTGGAGCTGAAACACAAATGAGGCCTAGATGCTATCTCTATTTTGACCAAAACTCTGTCTCTGTGGTCAACAATCCCGAAACTTTGTTCCTGCGATTATTTGATGCTGATCAGGACCTCGTTGTCCTGAGGGCTTAATGCTTAAAGGAGTGGTTTGTACAGGGAGAAGGAGGCAGGTGAGTCAAAGAGCTGCTTGAGGCCAGAGTTTGAATCAGCTATCTGTCTCAGTTTCCCCATTCTACTTGTCAAGGAATTTTCCTGGCTTCTTACTATCCTGCCTTAGTTTCATTTTTGCAATTCTCATTTCCTACCCCCACAAGATTGTGGATTTCTAAAAGAACTCCATTTGGCCCAGCTGAGTGGCTCAGTTGATTGGAGCGTTATCCTGTACAACAAAAAGGTTGTAGGTTCAATTCCTCGTCTGGGCACCTACATAGGTTGTGGGTTTGATCCCTGGTGCAGGCACATATGGGAAGCAACCAATCAATATTTCTCTCTCACATCCATATATCTCTCTCTCCCCCTACCTTTCCTCTCTCTAAAGTCAATGGGAAAAAACAAACAAAAAACTATCCTTGGGCAAGTATTTTTTTAAAATAAAATAAAATAGCCTGACTGGTGTGGCTCATTGGTTGAGAGTTGACCCATGAACCAGGCAGTCACAGTTCAATTCCCGGTCAGGGCACATGTCCAGGTTGTGGCTTGATCCCCAGTAGGGGGCGTGCAAGAGGCAACCGATCAATGATTCTCTTTCATCACTGATGTTTCTATCTCTCTCTCCCTGTCCCTTCCTCTCTCTGAAATCAATAAAAACATATTTAAAAATAAATAAACAAACAAATAAATAAAATAGAAGAACCCCATTTTCGTTTATATCCATCTCTATAGGACCCAGGAGAGTGCCAGCCACATGCTAAATGCCCTTAAATATTCTCAGAGTTCCTTCATCCACTCACTTAATTCATAAATACTGATTGTCTGCCTGTTCTGTGCCAGGCCCCCTTCTAGTTGGTGAGGATACAACAATGAACAACATTAACAAAATCCCTGCCCCCCAGGGAGGCCTATGGACAATACATGAATAAATAATGTATGGTGATAAGTGCCTCGAAGTAAAATAAAGCAGGGAATGGGGCTAGGAAGTGGGGGGAGTGGCAGCAAGATGTGACATTTGAGCAGACTTCCAGGAAATGAGGGAAAAGCCACATGCAGCTATCTGGGTTAAATTTGAAGAGCAATATAAATATTTGTAGGAAAAACAAGTGGAAAAAAGTAGACAGAACATTCCAGAATGTGGGAACATTTGACCAAAAAATCTGTAGCATGAGATAGAAAGCTTGTTTGGGCTCTGTCTAACCTGAGTAACAGGCCCTAGAATATGAGGAAAAGAATTTGTATTTCATGTTGCAGACAATGTGAACCACTGAAGGCTTCTGCACAAGAGGTGACAAGATCAAAACAGCACTACAGGAAGTTTGGTCTCACAGGGCAACCAGACAGGAAGCATTAAAGGGAAGGATGGCAGTTCTATCCCAGACAGCTTGAGTTTGACATCACAGTGGGTCTTCACAAGGACCATGCTCAGCGAACAGTTGGAGTTAAGAGATGGGTGAGGGCTTGAGATTTGGGGGGTGTAGCCCGTCTAAACCCCAACAGCTGATTGTAATCATCTTCCAGGAATCGCAGGCTCTGTGAGCAATAAACAGATCTTGTTAGAATTTTACTTCTGGCCTGCAAACTGGTGGAGCATTCCTCTTTGGAATTTTCCAAGCTTAGGCCAAGACTAGACAATCAAAGTCAGCAGTAAGGAGAATTATATGCGAGACCTGACAGGGAGACACGCCAGCAAATTAAGTAGGAGAGGAACCCGGAAAGGTGGGTCACGGCGTGCCTTGAGAAGCTCAGAATCCCGGGAGATCTGGGAGAACGTGTATTCCGCCAGATGCTCGGGCCTCATGGGCGGGCTTTTGTTTAAATGTGTGAGATGATTTAGACACCCTTCAGAAAGCAGCATGCCCATGGTTCATCCTGCCTGAGGAAATGTACAGCCCTTCACATTTGACTGTTGAACGTAACACTGATTGGAAAGAACAAGAGTCATCTCTTTGACATTTGGAATGACTTTTCATACACTCAGCAGCAAACGGGAAGGGGGTCTGTGAACACTGAGAGTGAGGTTTGTAAACCACAGTGAGAAAAGTTGCAGGAAGCAGTCACAGCTTTAGGTGAGCTGCTTGAGTTCTGCGGATGTGCTTACGTAGTAGAGCTGTGTCACCATGGAAATCAACCACTGAGAGAAAAGAATGAGAAATGTTATTGAAATGAAAATGGTTCTCACTGACAAAAGCAAAGGGCTGCCATTTTGCCTGGAGTCCTGACCAGGTGGGTTGTGTGTCTAGCAACTGGATCCTGGGAAGGAAAGAGACTGGAAGGATGCAAAAGAGAGGGCCTCCTTTCCTGGAAATGTATGATTTTAGCCCAGGAATCTTTAAGCATGTTGCTTACATAACCCCCAAAAGAATTTTTTAAACCTCTGTAACTCCTCACATATGTTATGTTGTCATCTAAAAGTTTTCATCATAAGATAAGATGATGATGGATGATAATTGGGATAAATATTTCATGACACTATTTGATAAAATAGGTTTTAACTTGCTAATGCCTAAAACACCCAGATCTTAAAGAAAGCATGGAAAAGTTTTATAAACCAGTTTTATCCAGTGTTTTGCAAAAAGATTGCTTTTCTCACAAGACATTTCAGTTCACTTTAAGAGAACCAGCATCACTAACTTACAATACTCAGCTATTCCAAATCCACAAAGGCCAATTATTCCACTTCTGATGACAAACTTTGCTGGTAACAGAAATATGTATAAGATCAGCAAGGAGGGAAGTCCCATGCATGTCAGGGAACTTGATTAATAACAAATACAGGTGTCTTCAAGAAGCCAATATTTCTTTCTTGTTTTTTACTACCATACACATTTATAAAAAACTAGTGACCCGGTGCATGGATTCGTGCACACTGAAAAGAAATTAATTAGAAGGTGGCTGGCAGGGCAGGACTGGGAAAGATGGGCCAGACACGCCCTGGAGCCAACCTCCTTTTGTCCCTCCCCGGCTGACCACATCTGGGGTGGCACTGTGGCTCAAAGGGTGTCTGCAGAGTGTGCGGGGTCCCTTTGGCAGGTGGGGTCCCTTGGCCTGGCCTGCAGGGATGGGACCAAAACCAGCTCTCTGACATCCCCTGAGGGGTCCTGAGTGTGACAGGGCACTCTGCAAAGTTGCTGTCATACAGGGTGTGGAATGCAAACGCAAGTGTGCAGTAAACCAGATTCTGGGTCAACAGTGTCCTATTAACAATATAACCCACGGCTGAAGGTGGAATCACATGGCCCCGCAAGGAATCGGGCTCCCTCCTCTCTGGTTTTGGGGTGCGTCATCCAAGAACCACCACTGCCAAGTCACTGCAGCTCGTGAGTTCACTATGTCCTTCTTAATGACAAACAACTAAAACAAAACAAAGTATATATATATATATATATACACACACACATACTAGAGGCCCGGTGCACAAAATTTATGCACTTGGGGAGGGGGTTTCCCTCAGCCCAGCCTGCACCCTCTTGCAGTCCGGGAGCCCTTGGGGGATGTCCAACTGACGGCTTAGGCCCGCTTCCCTCAGGGAGCAGGCCTAAGCCATCAGTTGGACATCCTTAGCCCTGCCGAGGAGGCGGGAGAGGCTCCCGCCACCGCTGCTGCGCTCACCAGCTGTGAGCCTGGCTTCTGGCTGAGGGGTGTTTCCCTATGCGAGCGCACTGACCACCAGGGGGCAGCCCCTGATGGTCAGTGCGAGTCATAGTGACCAGTCTATTTGCATATTAGCCTTTTATTATATAGGATAATAATGTTTTCCTACACATCCAAAATATTACTGTCACACCTAACAAAAGTATATGGTCCATATTAGAAGTTCCCACATATCCCCTAAATTCCCATTTTAGCTGGTTTATCCAACCCAGGATCCAACCCTGGGCCATACATTATATTTGGTTGTTATAGCCCTTGAGTCTCTTTTAATCTAGAACATGCATTCTTAAGAAGGGTGATATTGTCTCCAAGGAAGTAAAAATTGGTTCTTGGGGAATGAAAAAAATTTAACTTTTTTTATACACATAGCACAGATAACCATATAGTACATAAACATATACACACAGTTATATTTATTATAATAAATTTAACCAAAATTAACCTCACAGGCTGATGTGATCATAAATTCCTAACTGGGCAGTTCATGGTAGATAGCTATGCCCAGGCCTATAACTTGATGAGGAAAATGTTTATCTTTTACTTCAGCAAGACCTGTCCATTGTTCTTGTGCATCTAGATTAACACACCTTTAAAATGCCTCTTTTTCAGACCCCGGGGTCTGAAACCACCCTCAAGTGAGCACATAATCTTAACTATCCTATAATCCAATCCCCACCTTGTTCTCTCCCACCATCATGTAATCTTCCTTACGTTCCCTTCTTAATTTCAAATGCATAAAACTGTCATTCTCCAGAGCATTTGAGATCTTGCTTCCTGGCAATGTCATCAGTTTGGCTCAAATAAATGCTTATAAAAATTCTCTACAGGTTTGGATGTTTCTTATGTTGATAATAGTATAACTCTGATATTAAATTTTCATGGTGGGAAAAGAATTAGGAAAAAATGTCTAAAAATGCTCCTGGGGTTGGGGGAATGGGCAATTTTAGTTTTTTAAAAAGGTTGAAAAATACTGATCTAGAGCAACCTCTCTTTCTTGACACTGGCCAAACCAATATTTCAGTGTATGCCCTTGTTTGGTCCAAGGGGAGATTTTCATGGTCTAAGGCAATAATACCCTTTTGTACAATGGGCTGAGTGAGGTGGTAGACTTAGAAAAGTGCTGCTCAAATACCTCCTTCAAGAAAGTACTGGCTGCCCAGCTGGGAGGAATGAGACTCCTTAGGGTCTTCCTTAGCT